TAGTCTTGCGCACGACGCAAAATTTGTCCTTTTGCGTTGATACGTAATCCAGTTCCTTGTGGTAATTCCTTGAGGATCGCACATGCATTCATTTCTATAAGTCTTTCTACATGTGATTTGAAACTCTTAATGTAGACGTCTTTGTATGTATTTGAGTCTTTGAGAGTCAATTTGTTCCTAAGTACCAGAACTTTCTCGTGGACATTTTGAAAACTTATTTTAAGTAATAGTGGGCGATTTGAAAACCGAGTTGGGAGTCTCACCGCACCTGTGATTAGAACATTTGATGAGACGTCGCTCCCTAACGTGCTTATCAAGTCGTTTGCAACTGCCATTAAATCCTCCCCTTCAGTGTATTTTAATCCGCTCGCCGTTATAGTGATATCCGGGTCATCGAGGTAGTTGCGTTGTTGATGATCCGTGAGGTCATGTGAATGAGAACTATCTGTCAGACGTGAAAGGATCGTCTGCTCAAATGTGTCAATCCGGGATTGCGTGCCTTGAACAGTTTTCGCTACCTGTTCAATCCGACTACTCTATCGGGCGATATCGTGTGACAACTAGTCACGCAAGGCCCGTAGTTTACAGTCATGTTTCCATGAGGTCCGATCGAAGCTTATCAAGTTAAGATTCGAACATTCGTTTCATGCTATCTTGATTCTTTTTTATATCCAGAAATGTTTCAAGTAACAAGTCCAATTTATAGTTGTCATTTTTGTCACTACTAAAAGAACTTTTATTCACTCCTTGTTTGGGTGATAAGGCTGATGTTTTAGTGTTTGTGCCGTCGTACGAGGCCATTGTTTCAATGTGTGTGTTTCTAAATTCAAAATTTTACTATTTCATGTTTAAATGTTGAATTCTGCTTAAGCCGGTGCTAGGGGGCGTGGACGGTAGCTTGCACTTTCGATTACCGTCCATGAACAGGCTCAATCAAACCGAGCCTGCAACATTTTCAATTTTGCCGTGTTGGGCTTTCTTTAGGGATTCCGTATTTATCTATTATATGATCACATCCGTGTTATTTGTGCCGTGTGGCGGCTGTTAAAAGTCTCCCCGTACATTTAATCAATGATGTTATATTTTCGATCCTTGAAGATCGTTCAGCACGACATTATTGTTGTGCTTGTGGTATTTTAAGTTTCAACTTTTCGGCATTTTCTAGTTGGGTGGTTCCAATATTCCTACTTGAATAATGTTGAATCACCCTTAGGATATATTGCCTGCTTTTTAAATTTGTCTTTTGACGTCTTATCTGTGATACGCAGGCTTCTTAACCTCTGACCCCCTTTCAAAATTCCATTTTATTTAGTTCCGCCCATTGTTTTCTCGTTTAGGGCCTAGCTTTTTATTACTTGGGGGACCATACGCCGCTTTTCATGGAATGACACGGAAGTGTCACATTGAAGGTTCCATGATAACCGCCGTATGAACACATCTGCGGATGTTTCTAAATTCAAAATTTTACTATTTCATGTTTAAATGTTGAATTCTGCTTAAGCCGGTGCTAGGGGGCGTGGACGGTAGCTTGCACTTTCCATTACCGTCCATGAACAGGCTCAATCAAACCGAGCCTGCAACATTTTCAATTTTGCCGTGTTGGGCTTTCTTTAGGGATTCCGTATTTATCTATTATTCACTACACTATGATGAACATTGTTGTTTTTAGTAGTAATATCTGTATAGTCTTGTTCGCATTCATATAAGATGGCACGTGTTTCACATAATAATTCACTCACATTCGATGTATCTGTTTTATTCCCAGACGGGCCTCTTTTCTTTGTTATCTTCTATGGATTTAAAGTTCCTTCCGATTCACTACCACTACTCCACTTATTCCATATATTTATATGATTAAGTGTTAAATCCTGCCATTAAATCCTCCCCTTCATTGTATTTTAATCCGCTCGCCGTTATAGTGATATCCGGGTCATCGAGGTAGTTGCAATGTTAATGATCCGTGAGGTCATGTGACTGAGAACTGTCTGTCTGACGTGAAAAGGATTTTAACGAGCGAAATATTTTCATTACCGGTAAGCTACTCAATAAGGGCTACCGATAATATAAATTACGTTAGTATTTTATAAAATTTTACTATCGTAACTTTGATTTAATTTCAAAATTCAATAGTGATCTAAAAACTCTTCTACGACAAGGGATTAGCCAGCCTGATTTTTACAGGGATGTTGTTTACAAACTTCGTAAGATCTTGGGTCATTGTAATTTTTCTGTTGTGTTTACTAAATTAATTAAACGTTTTATTAAAAGGGGTTATGACCCTTCTATTTCAAGACATACCGCATGCTTAGTGTTCAACCCATTTACAGTTGGACGCTACGCTTTCCTCTTTTGATTACATCTAACGGACCATGTAGGAGACTCTATGATGAACAGATCTTAAAGCCCTTTTGGACTGAATTGCCTTAATGTTTGTCTTCTGTCTTGCTTCGTCAGGCCCTTGTAGGTGATTTTCTTATTGCTCTGTCTTCCTTTAAGACATCGAATACTTCTGTTATGGTCATTGAGTTTACTTTTATATGTTTCTACATGATCATTATAGTGTTTTACTTATTTAACCTTTTGTAACCATAACAACTGTTAGAATTTTACTTGGCGGCAATTTATTTTATTTACACTGCCTTGTTCATAGGAACATGGTGGGGCTAAGAGCGAGGTTTGGGCATCATTAACCGGTTTAAATCCCCAGTAGTCATTATTATGCTGCTGACCGTTCCAAGGCGGAGCCCCTCTGTGTTCCTCAGATGTATGTCTATGTTATCTCATACTGTTTTGGTGACACTTTTGCATGTGTCCCTTGTTGTTTTCTCGTCTACGGTAAGTATCTTCCCTTTACCCCTAGTTTTAATTTCTTTGATTAACCCCCCCCCCCCTCCCCCGGTCTCCTGTCCCCTTCCCCTGTGCCCTTTGACTTTGTGGGCCTATAATTCAATCATTTATTTGTTTTCTTTGAATTCCTTATCAGTTACAATTTATTTATCTTTTAGTGATTAACCTGTCCGTGCTCTGTCTTGTGCCCTGTCCTGTTTTTGTTTTTTGGTCCTCCTTGGCTCCTTGCCACTGACTCTTGTTACTGGGTCGGGTGGTGGCTGTGTTCATTTAACGCCGCCTTTCCTTGATGATCTTGTTTATCATATTCTAAAACAAATAGTATTATTTTATCAGATAAATGGTCATTTTAAATCACTTAGAACTTTATTAAAGTTTTAATCAAGCATCATTTTATAAGAATTTCCAAACAGTACATTTCTTATATTATTTTTTTATCAATATTTGAAATGGTAATGGCAAATGTGCCAATTGTAGACCTATCTACTTTAAATTCAAGCTCACGCTTGACGGTCAGACATTTTTTGTCCGCTATATCAATCCTTTATGTCTTGAAGTTTTTTTATTTCAAACTTGGTTCAAATATTCACTTTATCAAGGAAATGTGCAACTGCTAAGCAAGCTCTAGAACATGTCTGCTCTATTAAACCTATACCCCATGACAATTTTTTATCAAACGTAAATCAGATATTCACCTTACTAAAGCAATGTGCTAACATATAATTGTCTGTGCCGTCTCAGGGTCACCCTTAGGGGTCAAAAGTCAAATGTCAGACAATTAAAATTCACCTCAATAAGGCAGTGTACACTACCAATGCAATGGCTATGTTCTTGAAGGGCAATTGTCTGTCATATTGGGAAATCTTTAAAATTATATACAAGTAGACAATTTTATGTTGCATACACTGCATGTTTAAGCAACTGTATGTACGAAAACATAAGCCCAATGGATGACATATTCAAATTTTCTATTAATGGCCGCCTGTTTTATGTTCTATGCCATACTAGCTAAGCTTTCTTTGCTTTACTGTGCTGTGCTGTGGTAAAGACTAGTCTCACTTTTCACGGTCGCCTGTTAACCTCTAAACGAAAAATAACCAATGGATAAATAGAAACAAAATGTTTGAAAATATGATATATTTTTTCAATAAGCATATTATATAAACATTAATTTAAGAGCAAATCAATATGAGCCACGTCACGACAAAACCAACATAATAGGTTTGCGACCAGCATGGATCCAGACAAGCCTGCTCATCCGCGCAGTCTGATCAGGATGAATGCTGTACGCTATCAGTTTTTCTACTTGTATTATGGTTTTTAATCGAACAGCATGGATTCTGATCAGACTGCGCCAATGCGCAGGCTGGTCTGGATCCATGCTGGTCGCAAACCCATCACGTTGGTTTTGTCATGACGCGGCTTATATATATATTAATTAACCTTCCAGATTTTCTTCCGCCTTTTCGATTGGATATTAATCAGCCCAAAGAAATTGATATAACCGAGCCAGACGGGTAGTATACACACTAAATTTCCCCGTTGGGTACCCAACGTTGTAAACAACATGCGCCGAGGTGATGCGCGTACGGTTCGATTTTACGCGGTGTAAATTCCGATTTAATAGCACTTTTTAACTGTCAAATGATAAATATTTACCAAAATAGAGTAATGATACATATTACCATTAGTATCGAAAACAAATATGACCTTGTGAAAGCTTGACATCAATTACAAAAACGTGCGTTCAATAGACTACTCCTTTTCTCTTGTTTACATTCGTTAGGTACGGGAAAAATACGTCATGTATTTATGTGACGTCATGTTGTGACGAAGAGGTACCCTAAAGGGAATCTTATTTCGACGTTTCATTTGAAACAGCAACGATTTTTTAAAAAATCGTCTAAACTCGGCAGGGGAAGGGTATTACAATTATTATTTTGGTTTTGGAGTGATATATGTGGATATATTACCCGCAAAGATAAAACATCAAATATAAAATCTTAACAGGTAATATATCCACATATATCACTGCAAAACCAAAATAACATATAATATTAAGATATTTGAGTGTCATTTTTAATACATTAGCATGATTAATTACATTTATAAATATATTTCCATGCAGACTGACCCGTATAAAAAAGGCTATAATGGAAAGTGAGGAACTGGATTCAGATCTCTTTACGAATTGGGTGCGAGGCTCAAAAGGACTAGAATACTTACAGGAAGGTCTTCAGGAATTTGTTGGAGAAAAAATACTGCAATGTCGTGATAATACCCTACAAAATATAAAAAGGACATTACCATCTACATCACCACAACAGTGCAACCAGTGTACACCACGCAATCTGTATCCCGAGCATAACAACACCACAAATGCGTGTAGCAGAAACACATGTCGCCAAAGGAACCCGGCCAACTGTTTTGGAAGCAAACCACGCGGACGTAGGAAATGTCCTTATGGCATTTGTAGTAAATTGTATGACGCAATTATAGATGAGCATGTATTTGAAGACCCCTTATGGAAGAACACAGACCCAAGTACGTGGTGTTCGGATCCTCAAGGATGGAGCTATGCAAAATGTTTCCAAACAACTAAAGGTCCAGGGACATCAGCCAAAGATACAGATGCAGCTGGTCTGCTCAGCATAATTATAAACAACAGGTCAATACAAAACTTTGTGACCAGTATTAATCCTACCAGTTCGTTTCATTTGGTAAGTACAGGAAACGGTCAATAACTTATAAATAATTTCAAGTAATCTAAGAGTTTCCTTAATAACTGAATAGACAACATGCTGAAAATCAGCATTTAGCTATTTTATTTGAGAGATAAATCAGTTTGGTCGATATCCTGAAATATAAACAATCACACATAAATTCGAGTTGCAGGCGTTCTCCAGTATTTGATAAGAAGTTAAAGAAAAATTAAAAGTATTTATTCCAACCAAATATTACTTTAACACAAACGGGAAAAAATGTTGTTTTTATGTTCATAAATCAATTTAAAAAAACAACATAAAACAGTTATGAGTCTTATGTGTTGCTTTTTCCCGTCTTCATAAATGTATCTACTGTTAAACTTTTTTCAGGCGAGAGATTTCCGAAATGAAATCATGCATAGTTCAAGGCTTGAAATCGACGAAACTACTCTATGTACTTATTTGGACGCGTTCATTAACGTTCTTCAAGATCCAAAGTATCTGATTAACGATGAGGCATCAAAGAATGCTGTTCATAAACTCACACAGGTATATAATATTTTTTACATTACATTGATTTTTGTGATAAATTAGTATCTTTTTTGATTCCAAGTGCTCATTGAACTTCTTCAGAGATGACATCCGACTATAATTTGGTATACTTCTTTTAAATGACGACATAGGATAATGGATGCATTATATAATTGACAATAAGTTAATTAACTTTCTCTTGTACGCACTACTGTGTGTTTCATTTAAGTTTTCTCAAACTGAAAATTTAACATTGTACTACAAACTAATTTTTCAAGGGAAAAGACAAAAGACATCTCTGAAAAAAGACTGCTAAAAATTAAAAAACAAAGTTTCCGGCCGATAACTAAAGTAAGGAATGTGACATGATACTAAACCATATTACTTAGACATATGTTATTTGGGAATGCTGGTCAGGGATTGCTTTTTGGATCCTCGGGGTCAAGGTTGAGGTCAGTGTTATTAAAAATAGAAAGAAGTTTGTATATTAAAAAGATATAATGAATGATAAAAGTTGAACAGAAATTGTTGGATATTTGACCGACAATATGATTTTCAAACTATATATTAATGTGAATTCTTCTTTTAAAGACATTATTATAATTGCTGAGAATAAAGTTATGGAAATATATTTTTTGAAATTTTCTGTTGTTGGGAGGAAACATTGCTCACATTAAAGTAATTCTTTATTGTGAAATCGGTTCCTAGTTAAAGGCAAACTACGTAGATAAGTAAATTTGCAAAAGATTTAATACCTGGAAAAATTATCTTGTCTGTATTGTGTTTCCTTACTCATTGACACAAACCATTATGTAGACTTTTCCACTGTGTCTTTTATATTGCTGCTGTAACAAAGTCAACTAGGACACACACTTTTATGTTAATTAACTAATTTATTATTTCAATCATATGTGCTACCTTTATTTTAACTTCTACAGATATATACATGTAATATCTATATTAAGAGTTGCTATACATGTCTACACATATAAAGTATATGTTGTTTATATTGGAACTGAAGCAAGAAAATTTTGACATTTGAATTGTCTATCAAAGCATCATATGATCTTAATTACACTTGATTTGTATTTGATGTTTAATGTATAAGCTGGCTTACATTGTAATTTATTTAATATTTACATTCAATACTTGAACTGTTGTAGTAATTCGAATATTTCATTATGAATATATCACAACAAATTGTCAATAACTGTTAATTTCAATCAATTATTAGTATCATTGTTAACGTATGGTACAAGCAAAATACACGTGTATGAAATAACTGAATACTGTAGTTTTTCTAGTTGTCAATTAACTTCTCTATAAACACTCGTGACAGATAGGTCATTAGCGGAGAGCAGGCTCTTGAGTGCACTTAAAAATATTCAAATTCAAATTCTTTATTTCTCTCAGTGCATCATACATGACACAAACATAAGGTATATAACAATAACCATTTGTAAAAACGGCAATACATACATGGCAAGCCATTTACAGAGAACAATCACAATACATAAAAAAGATTAACCTGTTTTAATTGCTGAACAAGAAAAGCATTGATGCAAGCATCAAAGGCGACACCAAAAAAAAATTGATCAAGTTTTGCACCTAAATACTTAACAAAAGGTGTGTACTTTATAGCAGTACCATTACATGCGACCTGGAGGCTAGGTCAAAATTAAGTTGAAACTTAAGCCAAAATGAATAAACCCTGTCTTGCCAAGATGCAAAGACAATTGTTAGTCAATTAACAAATCACTAATAAGACTCATGCCATTAGAGAGAATTTCTTCAGATTTATTTTACCAGATACAAGGATACATGAGTCATCAGCATATAATTACAGCTTATTGCTTAGGGCCATTGACATATATTAGACATGAAAGAGTACCTAAAATGAACCTCAGGGGAACACCATATATAGGTACTCGGATCAGTAGTAGAATGAGTACCAGACACATCCACCAGCTGCTGTCCATCAGAAATAAGACTTGACCCATGTAAGAATGTCACTACCTATGGCAGATGCTAGAAGTTCTATGAAGAAGAAGGAGAACTACTTCATGTGCAGTACTGTGTGATCAACTGTATCAAATGCCTTTTGAAGATCTAAAAGTATCATGCATACAATACTACCTTTGTCCGTTTTAAATTTAATTCAATCTATTAAATGAATCAAACATGTGTCAGTTGAAAAACCACTTCTAAACCCTGACTGAAACTGCTTAACCATGACTTGAACCCATGACTGTCAGAAGATCAACAGCGCTATCCGGCCGGCTACACATTTTATCTTTGATAATGAACTGTTCTAAACCACAACATATTTCCCAACTATATTGATTTGTGTCCTTAAATTCCTGATGTTTACAGAGCAGGGTTATATGCAGTCACAGGATGGGGAAAACTTTCAGCTTGACCTGAACTCGAATCTGTGACACACAGAATAATGTACCGCGGCTGTAGCGATTGATTAATTCTTAATTAAACAAATAAGCAGAAAAGCTTACATACTCGAAGTCTTAATCAAAATAACAATTTATATTATTGTATAATTATTTTTATATTTCTAAATCGCATTTGCATGTATTGGTTGTGCCGTTATTTATAACAGGTCAATTTGAAAGTGATCATTGGTACCAATACATGTACAATATCTTATTTTTTGCACAGATAAAAAACTAACATTTTTTCTTTGATAAGAAATTTTATAGAATAACAATTCAGAATATGATTTTTTGAGACTTAAGCCGGTGCTAGGGGGCGTGGACGGTAACTTGCACATTCCAGTACCGTTCATGAACAGGCTCAATCAAACCGAGCCTGCAACATTTTCAATTTTGCCGTGTTGGGCTTTCTTTAGGGATTCTGTATTTATCTATTTTATAAATTATATTGCTTGATCCAAGTCTCCCCTTAAAGGACTAGTACTGACCTACTAGCACAGAGAGTGTGGAATATATATCTATATTGCCATGCAACTGTCCGGTGGAATTGCACCATGGACCCTGCCATCACAAGAAATGGACACTAATTTAACCTCAATTCTAGATAGGTCATTATGTAACCTGCCAAATTTCACAAGTTCAGAAGATAAACCACAACACTCAGGCTAAGATGCCTTTAACTCTATTATAGATATTATTATTAGCCAGCTCACACTGGGTTTAAACCTTTAACCTGTATACTAATCGATACATGTATTATCATTTTTAACTTTAAATGAAAGTCCTCCATCACTTTAAAAATGTCATAACTGTAACTCTTTAAATACAGAAATATTACAAGTCTCATCATATCCATATACTAAGAATTAATATATGCACATAACATTAACAATTCCCAGTTTCTATTAAATAAATATGAAATCCTAACATTTAAAATTTACATTGGTACTAATGGATGAAATTCAAAATCAAGTATAAAGAAAATTATAATGTATAAACTCTATTATAGATACTATTAGCCAGCTAACACTGGGTATAAATACCTATAACCTGTAGACCAATCAATACCTGTATTATCATTTTATATAAATTTAAATGCAATAGAGAAAAACAGAATCCCTAAAGAAAGACAAACACGGCAAAATTGAAAATGTTGCAGGCTCGGTTTGATTGAGCCTGTTCATGGACGCTACTAGAAGTGCAAGTTACCGTCCACGCTCCCTAGCACCGGCTTAGGCAGAATTCAACATTTAACACGAACTCGTACAATTTGGAATTGTGAAACATCCGCAGATGAGTTCATATGACGATTATCATGGAACCTTCAATGTGACACGTAAGTGCCATTCCATGAAAAGCGGCATATGGTCCCCAAGTAAAATAATGTGTGTGCCCTAAACGAGAAAACAATGGGCGGAACTAAATAAAATGGAATTTTGAAAGGGGGTCTGAGGTTATGCAAGTCTCATCCATCATAACTGTAAGTCTTTAAATACAGAAATATTTTGAGTCACATTATATCCATATACTAAGGTATACATATCTGCACAGAACATTAATAATTCCCAGTTTCCATCAAAAATAAATGTATAACATCCTATTAGCATTGGTACTTGGATGTAATTCATAATCTTGTAGTATAGTACAAAAGTAAACACAATCGCAAATAGTCTATACCATATAATAAAAATTGAGTTGTGTGAGTGTCTAAACATTAAATAAATATATTTTACAGTTACGAACTATATAACCAACTGCATCAAGTGTTTAAAATTGATAACATAAGGATGTCATCCTTTCTCTGTTTCAATATATGGACATAAGCACCTATATGCATAGCTTTAATTTTCTAACTTTCATTTTTATCAAAGATTATCTTATTAACAATTTATATACAAACACATAGAAAATAATAATAAGTTTTATAGTGATTAGAAGACTCCTGTAGCAGAATACCTGTAGGTATGTATTAACTGAACAATTAAGAAAAATCTAGTCTAATAAAGCCAGTAAAAGAAATCTATCAATATTTCATTCCTCAGGGCCTTTATAATTTTGATGACCTTACAACTGGTAAATTTTATACAACAGAAATAGTAAGTAATATCTAAGGTAGACAGAAAAGAACAAATAATTTAGTAAACATGAGTTACTTCCCCTTAAGATAGAGAAAACCAAACCTGAAACCAAAAAGAACACCATGAACAGCAAAATTATGAAATGTTGCAGGCTCAGTTTTATTAAGCCATGCAAGGTAATGGTAAAGTATTCATAAAAAGTTAGATGGCCATGTGACAGCAGTAATTGCAAAAAATCGGATAGCTCTTATCATCCGGATACTGGTACACTTTGTAAAAACAATCATTCTGATCAATATATAAGCGTAATATGGATTAAATCAATAGGATAATCGTTTACAACAGTTTCATTACCAATCTTAATACTCATTTGCAGGTGAACGTTCTTTTTGTAGGAAAATTTTGAAAATATATAAATGAATGAATATGAATATGGCATCAATGTAGACCACAACGATATTTGAAATCCGAGTTTTAGTATTGCCAATAAAGCTTAGGGACAAGCTGTTTAACTGAGCCTGAAAATAATATCTCAATGCATATGCTTTCTACATAAAGTTATTAAATTCAAATATAACAACATATTTGTTTACTTGATTTTTACGAATCAAAATAAAACTGATTAACACAACATAACATTAATTGCTAATAATAACAGCTCCTTCCATAGGCCAAAATAAAAAGCATTCCATAAGCAAATCCTCTTGATTCATTAAAACATAACTATATACACATCGTAAACTACTAGCGAATATCTGGTACGAACACGTCTTTGAAGAAAAATATAGGTTGATAATAAATCGCCACTTTCGAGGTTAACGCACTTTACATGCTTTAAGGTAGCTTATTTTATCGTAAAATAATCTTGTTATTTGATGAATCACTGTACGGTTGTCTTGAAATATCGTTTGTATTTAAATAACCAAACCTATTTTGGCAATATTAATATCATATTTCTAAACAAGTAACGTCCCCTATTAAACATACACGTGAAATAGTTGAAACCTTGGACGCTGTTTGATATTTTTTTTTAAAAAAAACCTTATTAGTATAAATATACATGTTACAGTCGTAAAACTTTAACTTAAAAGCATTTTTGAAGGTATGGGTCAGAAATGTGTAAGTATGCTCCTTTGGATGTTGACTATGAATCCATAACATTGATCTACTCGAACACAGTTTGAATATGTTAAAAATAGATGACTTATCGTCCGTCAATTGTGTTTCCTGCGCCGACATGTATATACTGGAATAGCTGTCGACGCTTGAACTGCTGTCTGCCCATTTGACTGTACGGTACGATAACGTTTATATGCATAGAGTAAATTCCAATTCTCAAAAGAAAAAAAAACAAACACTTCACAATATCCATAGACATTATATCGAATAATCCATTGAATATTTTGTCTAATCCAAAACATAACATCTTTTAATTGTACAATGTTTGTTTGTTTCCAAAAACTTGTCCATACGTATGAATACATCGTAAACATTTGCTGAAAGATATTCAGATAATTCAAAATAGTTATAACATATAAAATATCAAACATTTCAAAACTGATGACCTTCAAATACCGAATAAAGTTCTTATAATTAAAGGAAGTAACCGTAAAATGAAATAGCTGACAACCTTGCAGTCAGAAAACAACACTAGTGGACGATTTCTCAGTCATTTTTCCTAAACCACTGTTTGTACAACAATTAGAATTGTTTTCAAAGCGTCAAGAGAATATGCTCATTCATGTCCTGTTTAGTCGGAAATCATTGTTCGAAGTCAAGAAATCAAACAGTTTTAGAAACCTTTGTTTTCGAAAAATAAGATTATACAGTAAGACAATCAACATTAAACGTGAATTTCATTTAACTCCAAATGAAACAGAAAGTGACATTTCCTTAGGAGATTAATCTTTATTGGCGATGCCGGTGTGCGTCGTTGTCTCTTATGAAATGTTTTTTAGCCGTGGTAAGACCTGTTATTATTAACAGTTAATGTCATGTTGTGTTAATAAATTTATTAGATTTTGAATTCCATCCAAATAGGTTTTAATATTTATTTAATAGAAACTGGAAATTATTAATATTATGTGCTTTCATGTATATCTAAGGATATGGATATGACGAGACTTATAATATTCCTGTATCAAAAGAGTTACAGTTATGACATTATTATTAAAGGAATGAGACTTACATTTAAATGGTGTGGTTATATGTCCGACTTAAGAAGAGATTTATTAACTGTATTTTTCAAAAAAAATTATTTTCTGAACTTGTGAGATTTGGAAGGTAACATAATGACCTATTCAGAATTGAGGTAAAATAAGTTTACAATTACTAGTGATGACAGAGTCCATGTTGCAATTCCATAGAACGGTTGCATATCAATATAGATATATATATTCCACAGATTATAAAGTTAATTAAAGCACACTCTCTGTGCTAATAGGTCAGTACTGATCCTTTAAGGAAAGAAATGTCCTTAAACTTGTATTAAGTAATATAATTTATGAAGTCTCAAAAATATCATATTCCGAATTGTTATTTCTAACATGTGCACAGTTAAAAGGGACAGCTTCTGCCTTATTTATTGTAATGGAGGGACACCAGTATCAACCTCGTGGTCTCGGGCAGGGTCAACGGACTACAGACTTTTCAGTAGATAGTTTCAAGTTTCAACCTAAAGAGCGTCCAAGCCTCCAGGTCACATGATATAAAGTACACATCTTCTGTTAAGTATGTAGGTGCAAGTATTGATACAAAAATATGTAGGTGTCGCCTTTGATGCTGTGCATCAATGCTTTTCTTATTGAACTATTTCATCACCCTTTATAGTCAAAACCAGTACTTTACGTTTTTTACCTCACTTGCTTAACTGCAGTTTAAGCGGACCATTATGTAAACACTTTAATAATGCGATTCAACTGTAAAACTAAGCACATCAAATACAATGGTTTGTTGGCAAACAGATAATAAGTATATAACACAATTATATATGCTTTTTACATTACAGTTAAAAAACAACACAATACACATAAGCCAAGGAGACAAAGTAACACTTCTTCAGATGAGACATAAGGCGTTGACCGAACTTGACGACAAAACAGCAGAGTCATTGCGTAATCTCGATGAGAAAGCATTTGCTGTACAACAAGATGTAAATGCAGTTAAGGATGCCGCTTTAGCTGATGTTAAAAGCGCTGGGGCATCGGTAAAAGAATCATTTATTGTAGAAAAAAAGGTTGCCATATTTGACATTACCACAGCCAAGAAACAGGGAGTACAGGACATTGCTGGGAAGATTACTGATGGTATATCTGAAATTACCACAGCCGGGGAACAGGCAAAACATGACATTGCTGGGAAGACATCGGAGGGTTTATCTGAAATAAACACAGCCGGGGAACAGGCAAAACAAGACATTGCTGGGAAGACATCGGAGGGTTTATCTGAAATAAACACAGCCGGGGAACAGGCAAAGCAAGACATTGCTAAGAAGACATCGGATGGTTTATCTGAAATAAACACAGCCGGGGAACAGGCAAAACAAGACTTTGCTTGGAAGACATCGGAGGGTTTATCTGAAATAAACACAGCCGGGGAACAGGCAATACAAGATATTTATGAGGCAAAAAACGATATTGATGAGCAGAAAAGAGAAGCTATTTCTGATATTCATAATGTAAAAGAAGACGTTTTATCTGAAATTAACAAGACTGGTTCTGAAGCAAAAGCAAATGTTCTAACGGGGGCTAGTCCTGTTTTGCCTGATATGAGCGTACAAGTTGTTTCAAAAGAATCCATTTTCCAAAAAGGTATTCGGAAGCTAGGAAAGGTGTTCAGACCTTCAAGTTCTAAGTCACATTTTAAGGTTGGTTTTTTGTTCAATGCTTCATATTAACTTATATAATTTACTTACTCTAGTTATTGTCTATATGTAGCAATAGTGGGGTGTCCGTGGCCGAGTTGTTAAGGTCGTTGATTTCAAACCAATTGCCCCTCTTCACTAGGGGTTCGAATCCCGACAGGAACGTTGGATTCTTTCATGTGAGGAATCTATCCAGCTAGCTTACGAAACGCCGGTGGTTTTACTTAGGAACAGAACAATGACAGAACAATCATGACAGAACAATCCAAGGAAGGGCACCGGAGGTCTTCCTCCACCAATAAATCTGAAATGTCGCCAAATGACCTATACTGTGTCGTCGTGACGTAAACCCAATCAAACAAACAATCAAACAAACATGAAGCAAAAGCTACGAAGTACTCTTTTGATTTTTATCTTTATTTGTTTGTTTTGTTTGGATTTTATGTCGCACCAAAAGTAAACAGTACAAGTCATATGGTGACTTTTTGTTTAAATTGTGGAGGAAGACCTCGGCTACCACTCCGTGCATTATTTCAGAGACGAGCCAAGATTCGATAATACCTTTAATTATTTACCGAAAGTCATGACTATATTGTTTCTTGTTTCTTTGTTTAGTTTCGAAGCATAAACAATCTTTTTATTCTCCCTGGAGGCAGTCCATCGCTCCCCTTCTCTTGTCCGGGACATAGCTCTAAAACTTCAAGAGGCATCATTAAGAAACTTTGTAGGTAGATAGGCCGTATTAAGTAGAGATGCAGTGCAAAAATTACTGTAACTCTGCCTTGCCTAATATTTGAGTGATTGTCCTTTGTTCATTTTTACAATTTAAACATTATCCGGGAAATAAAGTTTGTATGAAAAAAGATCTCATTAAGTAGAAGTGAAAGCATAGAAATCGTAACTCTGCCTTACCTTATATCAGAGTGATAGCCCTTTCTGTGTTACGGGCATTCTTTATGATAAGATTTTCCTGTATATTTACCTCAAATTGACCTTTGCAAACTAATGACCTGGATCTTGAATGTTTATTTAGTGGATTTTCATTTATTTTTGCTAAATGTAACTTGATAATTATTGAAAGGGTTATCTTCATACTTGGACAAAAACATTTTGGACAAGGTTTTCTTACACATTGAATTTCTTTCGACCTTGAGCTTTAAATGACATTGACCGTAAATATCGCATTATGGTTAAATTGTTATAATTCTGTTAGTTATGTACGTATTTGATTAATACTTGGACAAAACGAGGCTAGTTACAAAGCAAAGATATTGAATAATTGATATGCGACATTGTTCTGATATTGACATTGTCCATCAATGTTAAATTAATGATTTTTATTTCTGTTACTGCCTAACTGGCTCTTATTTTACTATCTTTAAATGAATTACTTCTAGGGCTGGGGTGATTATCCTAGAACTCGCATAGTCACAAATCAAAATGAAAAATCTAGTACGAACGAATATTTGTCAGTCCAGAGATCGTGGATCTTATTTTTTTATTACACATTCGCTGTTTCTCACACTTTCAAAGTATAAAAATACTATGTTTTATGTGACGTTTTCTTAAAAACAATTTGCGGGTTAAAGAGGGTTATCTGTTCTGTACTAAAACAGACATTAAATTGGATTTTGCCATTCATGAAATGTGTATAAAACTTGACAACAGATTGTACTTGATCTTCAGAAATGTAGCACATTCAAGTTAAATATTCTTATTGCTATCATTTTTATTTCTGCTTTAATAGTCTTTGAAACATAGACCTGGAAGTGCACTTTGAAATGGTTCATCATTTTACATTGTGAGCTTTTTTGTTATATGAATTTTGGCCTACTTTCACTTTGGACAGACCTTGTGCTTGTGAAAACAAACATGGCTTACAAAGCAGAATCACCTTAAGTATAAATTAAATCCGTTCATAAACTACATATTATGGCAATTTAACCAAAAATCATTATTTTTCCCTTGATGGACAAGGTCATTTATAGCTGAATGTCTATGTCAGTTCAATATTTTAGAAGGTCTTATCCAAAAGGTTGTTTTGTCCTAAAATGAAATGATACATTTCCGATAAACTTACCGAATTACAGCTTCTTATAGCAAATATGAGTGAAAATGCAATAATTTGGGTAATATATGAGTAAAGATCAACTTGAAAACCCTGATCTTCAATTGTTGTGTCTAAAGTTATGAAGTCAATTGTGTGGATTGTCGAATAATTTACGATCCGATTCGATCCACGATTCAGCACTTGCGATTCATAAATCGAACCATGTCTTTGATCTCCAAAATTACTTGTAAAAATTCAGTGAACATTTATAAAAGTGTGTGCATATTGTCATGATTTCTCAAAATATAGATAAATACAGAATCCCTAAAGAAAGCCCAACACGGCAAAATTGAAAATGTAGAAGGTTCGGTGTGATTGAGCCTGTTCATGGACGGTACTGGAAAGTGTTAGTTACCGTCCACGCCCCCTAGCACCGGCTTAAGCAGAATTCAACATTTAAACATGAAATAGTAAAATTTTGAATTTAAAGCCTAATTGTGCGCTGTTCCATGCTTTTGAACATGCTTTTTCGCACAGTTATGGGCCCTTGATCATGATTTTCAGAAAAAAATGTTTATCAAAGGTGGTCGGGCGTATATTATCAGTATTTAAGCATATATTGCGGACTTATGTCAAAGCTTCCTTTCGGGGGCATAAGCCACTGTCCATTGACAGATCTATCTTAATCTTTATTTTCAGCCGAATACCATTTGAAACTTCATAATCTTTGAGGAGTAAGGGACCATTTTATGATTTATGAGTTTTGCTGAATTTCCATAGCTTGTAACATTTGGAAAATTTATATTCAAAATCACAAAGTTAGTTAAAGCCAAACACAACACTCTCTCTGCAAAGTATAAGCTTTACATTTTATTTGAAGAAACAATGAGGATATAAACAAACAACAGAACGTAAGCTATTTCTTAAATTTAAGATCGTGTACTGAAACAATCACGTGGATTTGTCACCCTGTTTATAGGAGAGTTCTATCAAAATCGACATCAAGATATCCATATTAGCATTGACATAATATTAATTGTCTTACTTGAAGGAAATAACGCTACAATATTTCTTTAACAACCATCCTTAATATCATATTTTTGACTCTCGTTCTTTTACAGAAGTTGCCAAGCCGAACAACCAAAGTTTCAGGTAATTTCATTCATCTTTTCTCATTTTTGATAATAATTCAGTAGGCTGACTTGTCTTCCTTTTAAGTTAAGAATTCTTTTAAGATTTAATAATTGTTAAAGTGGTTACGACCACCACGTTCTATGAACAGAGATACAAATCTGCCAATGGGTGTAATGTAATTATCTTCGGGATTTAAAAGCGCATGTTGAACACGAGCCTGTGTTTACAAATAGTTAAATGTGACGTTACGTATGTATGAAAGAGAAGTGAACAGGAAATAGCTTTAAAGAAAGGTAATCGGCCTACATATAGTACATCTTAAATGCCCCATACATTAAAAATATTGTCAAAGCCACACTGTCAAAATTTACCGTTAAATTTACAGTCGTTTACTGGTATTCCGTAACGGGTTTAGCCCGTATACTATTATACGGTATCGGACCCTCGTTTGCGTTGCATTGCGGGATAGCGTTCCACGGCAGCCATTTTACTATGTGTGACAAGAGGTAAAACATGTCTTACAAAAAATCCTAATTAGGACAAGAATTTGCTCGTTACGGATTTTTTGTTTCGATTTTCAAAGAACAAAAAGTTATATTTAATTGATTTTCAGAATGTCATTTGATTACTCGATCTAAAGCTTTTATAAAATTATGCTTAATATCTGAAAATTACTACCCCACCCAACTGGCAGCTGGACTCCAGCATTGATCCGTATATTTACTGGGCCTCCGTAATGTTTAAGGCCTATAATTTTACTGCTTGACCAGTATTTTTACGCCAAAACATGTTACGGATAGCCCGTAAATATACGGGGAAGTCCTGGGAACCAGCTGCCAGGACTTTTCCCGTAAAATTTTTACGGTAAATTTTTACAGTGCAATGTACGGCTTTGTTTTGTTTTGTAATAATACTAACATAAAATATTTAAGATTTATAAGCGTAAAATATTGTTAAGCATTTTTATAGTTCAATATATTATTTCTTACTCTTTTATAATAGGTTTCTACTTAAGTTCCTATCGATACTACAGGGTGAACAAATAAAAGGGGTCAAATATACGAGATGTGGATGTAGGTGTGATGATTTTTAATCTCAACTTAAAATGATCTAAACAAAATAAAACAATTATTCATTTTGTGTACATTTTAACGAGGGAGCAGAAAAAGAAAAGACAATCACATCTAAAAGATATGGTTTTTCCCACCGCCTATTTTCCAAAATAAATTCACTATTAATTAAAATTAAGTAAACCAATGCAAAAATCTAAATAATAGCAATGTAGTAGGTTTTAAACTAGTGATCGTCTGCCTCGCAAGTGATAAAAGTATATATTGGATAGGAAAGGGAAACCAAACGGTATGCTGAATTTAAAGATATTTAAAGGAACCAATTGACATATTTCTTAAATAGAAACATATACCACAGAAAAGTCATTGAATAAATGACCAGTACTAACGATATTACACGAGTCAGTTTGACAATGTACATCAATGATTTCAACACCGGAAATTAAACATTCAACCTGTGACATTGACAAACAATGTACCTTACCAAATAATTGATTACTGTAAGATAATTATATACATTGGACAACACATCAGTAAATGAGTTTATATTTCTACAGTACTACAACCAAATAAACAACATTATGAAGAAATTCACAAGCAAAGTGTTCATATAAGAAAGTGAGAAGTATCGTTTGAATTTATTCCGCTATTGTTATAATTATAGTCTGTTATGTAAAGTTTAAAGGCACAATATGCCTCAAAAATGCATTTTTTTAGAAATGTCAATCAGGTGTTTAAAGATATTTTAAAATGGACAAAGAGTATGTTAGATTTTTAGCTACGGAATATAGTAGCGCTATACGTACTGAGATGTGTCGTTAAAATATCAAAATGGCTGCCTATAAAATATTAATTCTTTATATTTATTATAACAATTTCCAAAAGGAGCAAAAGAAGCAAAAGTTTCTTCATTTATATGGCAAATAAGTAGTTTTTGAAACTGTAACATGATATAAAAAAAAAAACTTCTTGACAAATAAATATGATAGCATAAATGAAGCGCTATGGGCATAATGGGCCTTTAAGTATATGCAATAATGTGCTCGTTTTTTTTTTTTTGTTCTGTAACACTGGTTTTATATATTTTTATGGATAATCCTCATACTTGCATACTACAACCCTTTGGGCAAGACCTTCTTGTAGACCAGATTGAAATTGTCCTTGACACCTTAATGACATTTAACTTAAATTTGATTTATAATTCGGCAAAATGTTCAAGATTCAAAAATAACATTGACCTATGAATGACCTTGACCATAAAGGTCAAATATTGAATTTATCTGAGACTGTTAAAACTTTGTTATTCATTAACGGATTTGATTTATACTTGGATAATAGCAATCGAACCTTTATAATGAACCCGTATGTTGAATTGTTCAAATATATCTTTAACCTTAATTTGACCTTAAAATAATTTGAAACATTGAAACGCGATATTTACACTACATATCAGACAATGTAACGCTGTAGGGAAAACTAACACGTTGTATAAAGTACCAATAGATTTTTTTTGATTATTTTGACAGTATCTCATTTATAAATTGCAAGTTTCATTACCCACTTCAAAGAAAAGGGGGTATATTGTTTTGCATTTGTCTGTCTGTCGGTCCGTCGGTCCGTAGACCAAATGGTTTTCGAGTGATAACTAAAGAACGCTTAAGCCTAGGAACTTCAAACTTGGTATGATGATTGACCATGCCCAGTAGATGACGCTTTTTGATTTTGGGGACAAGAGATCAAAGGTCAAGGTCACATTGACCTTGTAGGTAAAAACGGTTTCCGATGAATAACTAAAGAACGCTTAAGCCTGGGAACTTTAAACTTGGTATGGTTATTGGTCATGACTAGCAGATGACCCCTATTGATTTTGGGGTCAAGAGGTCAAAGGTCAAGGTCACATTGACCTTGTAGGTAAAAACGGTTTCCGATCAATAACTAAAGAACGCTTAAGCCTAGGAATTTCAAACTTGGTATGATGATCGGTAATGACCATTAGATGACCCCTATTGATTTTGGGGTCAAAGGCCAAGGTCATATTTATCTTGTTGATAAAAATAGTTGACGATCATTAACTTGACAACCCATGAGCTGTTGGCCCCAAAACTTCGTAGGTGCAATAGACTTGACAATAAAATGACCCTTATTGATTTTGGGGTCAAGAAGTCAAAGGTCAAGGTCATATTAACCTTGTAGATGAAAACAGTTTTCGATCAAGAACTTGACAAGGTCATAGCTGCTGACCCTCAAAATATGTAGCTGCATTGGTCTTGGACAGTAGATGACTCCTATTGATTTTAGGTTAAGGGTTAAGTGTCATATTGACCTTGTTCTTAGAAATGTTTTCTGACCAAAAACTCAACAACTTAAGTTACCTTGGTTGATATTTTTATATTAAACTAAAAATGCTTTTCGTATACATTTTTGAAGGTCTTATGTAATATAACAACTTTGCTGTAATTAATGAGTCCTACATGATTCATAAAATTTATGCATATATTATTTGGTAAAATTTGTATTAACTTAATTTGCTGCACCAACCAAAAGGGGTCACAATAATTTATTACTTGTGACTATCATACCATTTGAAAACCTTAAAAAGTTTTTTTTTCCTGGGTCAGAAGTCATACATAAAAAACCCCTGATCATGTGAGAAATTTGGGTTCCGATAGGGGAATACATTTTTAAAAACTATTTTTTTTTCGTGAACGTCGCTGTCCCCGCTTTCGTTTGGAAAAAAATTTTAATGTACCCCAAAATTTTAAAAGGTACCATCATAAAAACTTAAATACTTACCATGCAAGGTCCATTGTAACCAAAGGGTGCATTTAATTCTGAAAAAAATTTGAATGCACTGTTTTTTTGATTTTGTCCCTTTTTATATAGACCCCTTGTTTTAAAAAAAACTTCTAGCGGTCTTATCGGAAAATTTTTAATGGAAAATAAATTCAATTTCGAAATAGTTAAGAGTATCAAAATATAATGTAGCGCACCAAGGAATATCTACAGTCATGTAGGTAACTGTTACAAATAAATAGGCAATAATTGCAAATATTACAATGTATTTAAACCTTTCACTATTTATATAATTTCATTAAAATGGAAAATGCTCCCAAGTGAACTCGATTTTTTCAGAGACACTCCATCTCGGACACCTTTACTAAACATTCATAGTTAATTATCTAAACATAAATATTTAATTGAAAGGTACTTTTTCACTTATTTTCCTATGTCTTGATAGTTTACATAGATCACCAAAATGATAAATAGTTAGATATATTAAGATTTTGATTCAGTAGATATGTACTTTTAAAGCTGCACGCTTTCAGATGAACAAAAATATTTCGATAAAATCAAACCTGAGAAAAATGTTTTAAAATTTTTTGAAAAATATAAAGTTTCAAAATTTTAGTAGTAATTTATATGTTATGTGGCAATTAATGACAAAATATGTCAGTATTTATAACTATATTTCTACTGCGTTACTAACGCAGTAAGGGGCTATTTCTGCATATTGTGGACCTCTTTATGGTTATTTAAATGAGTTTTATGTAACCATTGATAATGTGTAAATTGAATTCTTTTGGTAACGTCAAAATAATATACTGTTAAATAATTTCAAATGTTTTTTATTGAAAATTAGCATGAATCTGGAATCTGTGAGGCGTGCTGCTTTAAGATAAATGTAATGCTTTTTTGCTTTGGTGTACTTTCATGGGCAGCATTAGGGGCCTGCATCTATTCTATAATTGCTGAATATAATATTTTGTTTCATAATTCAAACATAATGACTTAATTGTATGTTGAACTTGATTGATTTAAGGTATAAAAACATCAAAATTGTAAGTTTATGAACATGATGAGAGTCTATCTAGCGGTGATGTAAATCATTTTTGTCGCGATAAAAAGTTAAAAAAATGAGTTGCTGCTATTTCATGGCAATTACATGTATTACATAAATTGACAACTTTGACAATTTAAAGACTGACATTTTATGTATGCTTTTTTTTACCTTGAACATAACAAATAAAATGAACCAGAAACCAAATAACAATAATTAATATTTGGTGTACATATTTTCGCTTGAAATAGCATTTGATAATTACTATTGTTCATTTTAGGTTTTGTAATAGATATTTACCTTGGCTGATTTTTGTAGAAACAGCATATTAACTTAATTGTGTTTTAAAATGTGTGCGTACATGACAAGAGATAAGGTTGACTATAGATGAATCATTAATGAACCAATTCTGGAACGATTCTGCTCACTGAACTGGGAATCTGAGCTATGACATCTATAGGGAAATAATATTACCCACAGATAGGTAATATTAATGATAACTGTCAGTTTGCAGGTTTTTTTTCTTTGGGGTGGGTGTTAGTGATCTGTATCTATACATATAAAATAGAACGGTAAATTTTATTTACGTGCCAGTTTTTGTAATAGAAAATGAATATAACACACATGCGCACGCACGCACGATTGTACATACAAAACAAAGCAATATTAAAAGTTGTCTTTACCATCGCAGTTTTCTTTAGTAGCAATCAGCAAAATCCCTTGCCAAGCAGGAAGGCACATCTTATAAGGTAACCAATACTGTAAAAGGCAAACTTATACAATTCAACAAAATTTGTGAGTTCTACCAAGATATGCAAAAAAGTGATCTTAACCAACACTTATGATTCCTTCTATTATTCCCCTTAAAGTCGACGGGGGACAAGGTAGTAGTCTTCTTTCGTCCTTCCGTTCCATCATTTAACTCTGGAGTAGAGCTGGATATGAACACTGGATATATCGCAGTTAGGAGGAATGCAATGAACAATGATATGCATCAATTTGAAGTAATTGTCCTTTGTTCAGTTTTTGCATAATTGTTAAGACAATAACTCATAAAGGATTAAAAAAATACTAAGGTTAGTTTGCAAGGACCATACCTCTAATATAATATCTCTTCTAACAATAACTCTAATATAATACCTCTTCTTACAACGAATAAATCGCCAAGGTGCACAACTACACAGATGCTGATCAACATTCCTGTAATGTACGTTTGCTCACAAGCCTAAGCATTGCGTTTTTTGGAGCTGAATGAGACATATCATAGACATTTCAACGCGTGGACGAACGTACAAGATGACAAAATCATATGTAAATGCCAACCCCACCAGCACCCCCGCCCCCTTCCAGTGCAGGGACATAAAACATCCTTCTTACAATTATGTAGGATATACTGGTAAATTATGATTATACGGTCATCAGTACTGCACTGCTCAACTCTGTGCTGAATATAAGCGATAATATTTCCCTTAAAAACATTTTAGCTTCTTTTTTTAATATGTCAGTGTATCTTTTCAAAAGATATCTCTTGTTTCTCCTATACAGTTTTACGTCAGAGGAAAGTCTATTTTAAGATTGATGTCTATTACAGTTAGGCCAGTGCAAAGTTCCTTCCGTGCATTTCAAATTCATAATTTAGTAAAGACAGCAGCTGTACAAGCTGTCCAAAAACTTATCGTGATTTTATAAAATTCAGATAGAATCGATAAAAAAATAAAGTGAGATGCTCTGCAAATACAACAATATGAGGTATTGTATTCTAAAAACATGTTATATGAGTTTAAATTAAATTAATTAGATCTGTTCGTCTGCTACGTAAATTAGGAAGGTAGCAGACGAACACGTTTATTAAGGAAATCTGAAAAAGAAGAAGTTGTTGTTGTTGTTGTTGCTTGTTGATTTTATTTTTAATTTAGAGGATCTACAGTTTAAATTTATTTTGTTTTGATTTGAACCGTGCCGCTACTATAAATGTATTTATAAAAGCATGCGTTTTTTCTTGTATTTTCATAAACATCATAAATATATCTATTTTTCTTCTTTTTTCAGAACTGAAGGATGATCTTATTAAGTGGTACAACAAAAATCAGAGTACAGTTTCTCTTTCACCACTCACAGATGAGTTCCCTACCCCTTTAGCTGGGTTCTACATTATGCCAGAAATTGACATACTGACTTATCTGCCAGGTGGAAGGAAAGAAACAACTAGAGTCAAGTCGTTAGAGGACCTGTTTACATTGGGTAGAAAAGTTCCACAGGAAATATACTTATCAGCAGCCGCTGGATTAGGGAAAACAGCATTTTCAAAATATCTCGCCTTGACATGGTGTCAAGCTCATCAAAAGGATGAAAATTATAAGCATTTTAAAGAAGAAGAGTTAAAGTCATTATCTGGCTTTGAGTTTTTATTTCTAGTACTATTGAGAGATTCAACTAAAGTATGTGATGTTGACGACATGATTGAACAACAAGTAATACAATACCTTCCTTGCTCATCGTCAATGCCAAAAGGTATATTAGAGAAAATTCTACGAGATGAAAAATGTCTTGTTATATTAGATGGACTTGATGAATGGACTCATCCTGACAATAACAAGTGTACAAAACTTCCTAAAAGTATTCCGCATCGATGTGCACGTGACAAATGTGTAATCTTAACAACATCTCGGCCATGGAAGCTTGGAATGACAAAATTTAATCACATAGTCGAAACAGTAGAGCTAGTTAAACTAAATAAAGACAATGCCTGGCAGTTTAAGTGTAATGCTATGAAAATGTTGAATGTGAAACTTCAAGATGGTGAACTGAATAATGAAGTGTATACATTTGAAGAAGCAATCAGCAACCATGGCCTTGAAGACATGGAATCCACCCCTCTCCTGTTACTCTATCTTATATGTTTATGGACTGAGAAAAAAATTCCAATAGGAAATGGCGCAGTAGAATTATATACACGCATTATTCAACTCCTTATATCCAGAACAAAAACGTTAAATGGAAAGTTTCATTCATCATGTGAAAAGTCTCAGAGTTACATTCCTGATTGTTTCAGAAAACATCATCATTTCTGTAGTTACTGCAAGTTTCTGTTGACCATTGGGAAACTAGCTTTTTATACATTGTTCAGTAAGAAAAAAGAGAGCAATTTAGTTTTTGATAAACATGATGCTGAAAAATATCTTAACCAAGAAGATTTGAAATCAAGCTGTCTATCAGGAATATTATCAGAAAGTAAAGTGAAAGCATTGATAAATGAAAGTTTTAAAATCTCTTTTTCACATAAAACAGTGCAGGAATACTTTTCAGCAATATGTATAAGCTTTGAAAAAATAAATGAAGTTCAGAAAATCATATTTGAAGAGTGCAAAATTTTACAAAATATTCTAGAAATGTCAAAAGTGTTTGTCTTTATTAGTGGCATGAACCCTAAATTAATGTCTGCAATATCAAGTGATTTAATGCCTGTGATAAACAATGATAAAATAACAAGCAAATACAGAACTATGACAGATTATGAGTACATGTACATTAAGCCATTAAAAGACATACAAGACATGTACATTTCTTGTAGCAAAGAAGGAAAGGAAAACAAAGACCATAAATTGTGTTTACAAGATTTCATCATTAATGAAAAATGTCAACAAGAAAACTACTTCAAACAATTACAATATTTGTGTCAACAAAATAAAGAAGACATCAAATCAATAATGATACAAAATATGGGTATTTGTGGTCTACAAGAAGTTATTAATTTGTTTACACTTTCTGACCATCCACATATAGAGAAATTATTCTATCAAGGTGAAATTGTAGAAGAGGAAATAATTAGCTTGTTATTGAACCCTTTAAAATGTTTAACTGTGGTATCATGTAAATGGGAAAATCATCAATTTTTAGAAGAATATTGCCAGCTGTCTGCAGATCGGATAAATGGAGGACTAGTAAAATTACAACACCTGGAGTGTTTATGTATAAGCTATTTCACTATGACCCACGAGGTAATGGAGACATTGTTAAATTTCCTCACTAGTAAAAAATCAATGAAAGAAATAATAGTGTACGGTTTAAACTGTAGTGATCATGATACTTCATGTAGGGGATTCAACCTTGACCTGTCTCAACATTCACAACTAAGACGTTTAGGATTGAACTGTATACCTGTGTCACAATTAAACATGGATGTATCGTTGTTAGAGGAAGGTGGTGTAGGTAAATTATATAAACCTGGTGTTGTGTCATCTTATCTCAGTCAACTACCAGCAGCCAGTAAACTACAAACATTTAGGTGTAGTGATCTAAAATCTTCCAGTGACATAGAAACAATGTTACAAACATTACCATTGTTATATCATGTGAAATATGTACAGTTGTTTAGTATGAATCTAGGTGAAAGATCATTAACACTGACACCTCAAATGATCAATATTGAACGCGTTGACTTGGAGGATATAACAATGTCTTGTTCAATGTTACATGAGCTTATTACTGTTATAAACAAACTACCACATACAGTGACAGTATATATGCAAGGTTGTGATATAAAACCAGAAACAGAATTTGAAAACTTTAAAACATTTATAAAACAATCAGACAATTTTGTGGTCATCAGTGATGGCACCTTGAAGTCTGGAGAGTACCTGTTTAAGTTTATAACAACAACAAGACTGAGTAACCTTAAATGAACTTGGGAGAAACAATTTATAAATAGATTATGAGACAAGTGACAGGTGAAATAGACATCATTTTTTATTATTATTCAAATATTTACTGCAGTGGATAGATAAGGAAAAGTTTGAAATATGTACACATAATTAGACAACTTGGACTATTTTCTGGAAGTGCTATAGATGGACTGATGTTTCTGGATATAAAAAGTAAGTTATCTTTTATTTATTTTAATATTCTTTATATATTAGTATTATTTTGAACTTGGCGAAACAATATTTTTTATAAGTCTATAATCGTTTTTTAATATTTAAGTGTCAGACATTTAGAAGTCTTTATTCTTCAAGAATAAACTAGATTACTATATGTGTGTAGTTGTGTCTTACTTGCATATTATACACTTCATAAATTAATAATGAAATAATATCTTTATTTGCGCTTGAAAATTATTTCATTTCTTCACCATGGCATGATATATTTTAATGGGAATCAAACTTTGAAGAATTTACTAAAATAGGTATTCAATGTCAATTTAACATTTTCTCCATGGGCATATTGTGAAAAATGGCCGTTTTCATTGAAAAGCCTCCTGTTACAACGTCAAGTTCAAGCTGCTACAAACTATGACAAATGCTTCCAAAACTGATGAAACTTGGCAAAAATGTTGACTGGACCATGTCCTCTGTAACAGCATATTCAGTCTAACATTTCCTGTTACCATGGTAACGGGGAAATGACTCAAAATTGCCAAAAATCACTCTTTTGCATTGTTTATTTTTCCATCAAAACTGATTTCAAAGTGCTGCAACTTCCAAATGAATTGAGATGGAGTGAAAGGCTTTACAGCATTGGTAACATGTTACCTTACGATCCAAAATTTTCTTGACGATGTGTGGGGCTGCCACCCCTGCATACTCTGAAACAAAAGGGGCACACACCCCTTCTTGCAACCTCTTGATGAACCTTTTTTATTGGGGGCGGCACCGAAAATGTGATCAAAAATGGGGTCAAAAAGCCGTCAAATCACGTCTATATGAGGTAAAGGATTAAACAATTACTTTTAAAGCCCATTTCACCCTGGATGAACAAGTTTTTTCACGTGACCACAAATGCAAACGCCGATTTTACATTTCAGCAATTACGGACCCGATTTCAGGTAATTATTTGAAGATATCTTTTTTTCTACTGCATCCAAAAATTATGACCAAGACCTTAGGACCCGGCGTTCATTGAGCTTTTATTTTATGTATGTAGTTATTGCGAGGCTTCTGTGATTTTTTAGAACACTTCGACACAAATTTTCTTTTTGGTAGGCAAACGCCGATAAGTTTTACCTTTTCTAATCTTTTTTGTTCACTGGACACCTATGTTGAGGGAAAATAATAGAAGATATATGTTTTTTACAAGTAATTTTCGTACCTAACTTATTCATAATTTTATTAGCAATGTTATATTCGAGATAAACCCATGTTTTTCACTTGTTGTCGATTTTGCAAACGGCGTTTGATTATGTAAAATGAAAATGGGCAAACGTCGGTTGGTCATTTGAAATATATGCAATCACCCGTTGATGTCTGTTTGAACGCTGAACTATATTTGTCTCATTTCCAGAGTTCTTCATCATATTAAACAATTTCATTGCAAACTGATTCTAATAACATTCTGGCCACTACGCCCAAGGTTTCCAGATTTATTGAATCTGTCGGAAGCTCATCCGTTATGTCTTCCATTGGTTACAAACGTGTTACAACAACCAAAATCTCAGATATGTCATTCAAATCCAGGTGTTCTGAAATTGACTGCATGGTTGCTATCGACAGACAGTTTAGAGAAAAAGGTTTTTTCCAAACTTCTTACAACCAGCTTGAGAACTGGTACTCAGAAAGATTACTCCAGTAAATTAAGACAATTTATGATATGGTGTCGTCAAAAGAATATTGATTCCTTCACAGCATTCTTAAATACTTGTGCTGAGCTTTTATCAGATTTGTGCAATAAAGGTTTACAGTAGGTTACCGCTCTATTTTATCTGCAGTTTTACCTCCAGTAGATAGCACACCTATTGGTCAACATCCGTTTGCTATCAGATAATTAAAAGATTCAATTTAAAGAACTCCTGTAACAAAGTTGTTGCCTGAATGGGATTTGCCTAAAGTTCTTAGTTCACTACAAACATTTCCTTTTGAACCTTTGAGAAAAACATCAATTGAATTTTTAACATATAAAGTTGTTTTTCTTACAGCTATCACGACATTCAGGGGAGCCAGCCACCTTCAAGCGTTAACATTAAGAGGATCTATTTCTGTGAAGGCAGATGGGGAAACTTTTAGCACTAAACAGGATAGACCTGGTCATTCATCAGCAAAAATTTTTGTACCAGCTTTTAAGACCATCCAAGAAGAGCATTTGCTATCTATCTTAAGAGAACTAAATCCTTCAGACGTAAAGATTAAACAAGTTTATTTCTGACAAATAATGTACCTCATTCTAAAGCTTTTTCACAAACTTTGGCTTCATATGTTCTTAAAACTATTTAAGAGGCTTATGAAGATAAACATAAAAACGAAACAGCACATTCTAGAAGAGCTTTAGGTCCAAATTCTCAACGCTGCAGATTGGTCAAAAGAAAACACCTTCGTTTAATTTTATTTGAAACAAGTAACTCCAAGTGATCTCAATGTGTAGTTCAACGTCGCTGTATAGTTCAACCTAAGAAGATGGATTTTTTTCTACATTTTTAAATCAAAGTTTATTCCCGACGGATTTTGTGTGGAATTGATTTTTGAGAAGATTATATGGTTGTATGTATACATGTAGGGCCTATATATGGGATATACAGAAGTTTTATAAAAGTTTGTTATTCAAGAAGAAGAATGTTTTAAAATATAAAAGGAGAAAAGAGAGAAGTCTTTTGTTCAGAGAATTGTAATATTTGCAACTTGACTTACATAACCACCGGTTTATAAGAATCTTACACCGGCTGCCGGTACAGACCGGAATATCTGTCGAGTTTCCGCTTAATAGTTTCCTGAGAGCTAGATATTCCCGTCTGTACCAACAGCCGGTGTTTGATTCTTTTTCTTGCATATTACATGTCAAATATTTTCGGAACAGAAATTATGAAAACTGATGTATATATATCGCACTTTTTTCTTATAGTAGCGTATGAAAATACAACTTCATTCATAAAGGAAAAATGACGTCATCCTAAGAACGCGATTCATTCATTAAAGGCGCGTGTCAATGACGTCATTTAAAGCACGCAACTAGTCTTACGTGGGGGTGTAAGACAGAGATTTCCAGCACCGGTGTAAACGGTAGATTATAAGAATCTTACACCGGCTGTCGGTACAGACCGGAATATCTAGCTCGAGGGTAACTGTTTACAGCGGTGACGAGGCTCTGCCGAGTTTCCGCTAAACATGCAGTTACCAGAGAGCTAGATATTCCCGTCTGTACTGACAGCCGGTGTTTGATTCTTTTTCTTGCATGTTACATGTCAATTATTTTCGGAACAGAAATTATGAAAATTGATATTCTCATTACGCACGTTTTTCTTATAGTAGCGTATGAACATACAACTTCATTTATAACGGAAAAATGACGTCATTTTAAGACCGCGATTCATTCATAAAAGGCGTGCATCATTGACGTAATTTAAAGCACGCGACTTGTCTTACATGGGGATGTAAGACAGAGTTTTCCAGCACCGGTGTAAACGGTAGATAATCCTGTCTGAGATGCAAGAAAATCCTGTCTGAGATGCAAGAAATATTATATATCTAATATGTTCAACCGGCGTTTGCATATTTTACATGTTCAAACGACGTTTGCAAATTAGACAATACGGGGAATGACATGGGATTACGTCAAATATAACTTTGTTAATGGAATTATAAATGAGTTAGGGACGGGAATGGCATGTAAATGACATATCCTCTATTATTTTACCTCAACGTGTATTTCCAGTGAAAAAAAAATCGTAAGAAAAAGTAAAACCTATCGGCGTTTGCTTTGCGAAAAAAACATTTGTGTCGAAGTGTTCTAAAAAACTACTAAAGTCTAGTAATGACTACTCACATAATATAAAAGCTTAATTTACGCCGGGTCCTACGGTCTATGTCTTATTTTTGTGCTCGCATTGGGAAAAAAAGATATCTGCAAATATTTGCTGAAATGTTAAATCGGCGTTTGCATTTGCGGTCACGTGACAAAACTTGTTCATCCAGGGTGCATTTGAAGAATTTATAAGAGGTTGGGCAGTTTAGCTCAATTCCTTTATGAGGGGTGGATTCTGGGCCTGGGTGAAAATAATTGAATCTTAACCTAACCATGTGGTTCAAAAAAATTTACCAAATTACAAATTTCTACATTCTTCCGGACATTTTAAGACTTTTACCGGTGCAAGGCTGTCACATACTATACTATACTTGGTATAAATAACTGTACATGACTGTGCATGTAAATATGTCATTTCGTCCTGACTGCAAACATGAAATAATATCCTAAGTAAAAACATGCACTGGAAATTATTTTATTTTTCCCATTATATTTTAATTGGGGGTCAAACTTTTAAGAATAAACTGAAATAGATTTACATTCCATATCAATTTAATCAATAATTTATCAGGTCAAGTCTGTTGGGAAGATTTATTTTTTAGATTTTTAAAGGGGGTGGGTTAGGTTTCTTTCGGAGGGATGGGGTATGTGGGTAAATACGTCCTCCACAGGAATATTAATAAATTTTCATATTAAATGATGGCTTCTGGTAATTTTCAGGTACAAATTTTAATGCAAGTTTTCCCCCAAAAATGTTCAGACTTTAACAAATGCAAAGCTGACTACTATTTTATATAAATAAGAATAATTTCTGTTCAATTTGCATTTCTAAGCCCTTATGGAATGCCAATTGGCTTATCATATAAATGTAATACATCTATGTTCAAGTTGTCACTATTATTTATATCTAAATAAAAGAATATTTGAACCACAATAAGGCACTGCAAAATTTATTGCTGGCCAATTGAATATCTTTAGCCCTCATACACATGGAGGCGGTGGCCCAGTGGTTTAAAAATGTGACCAACGTGATGAATAATTTAAATATAACCTTGATCTGTAAATGACCATGACTGTTAAGGTAAACAATAGTCTAATATAACTAATTATATTGTGTGCAAGAAAATGATATTTTTAGGTTAGTGATATTAACACAATATTCTTTCGCTGATGGTTTTGACTGTCCTATTCGTCTAAAATGCTATGTCTAAAATGTTGATAATTAATAGACAAATATTTCTTTCTATATTTCAGATCATCCTCCCAGCCTACTTCAATGTTTATCAGCAGACACAATTCCAATTTGCTAGACACTATATCAATGAGGTGATATCTTTACAATCCTGAAAGAGAAGAGTTATAACATTATAACTTCACAGTTCCATCAACCATCATTGGAAATAAATTAAATGTCATACATCACTTATTCATGTTAACTACCAAACAACGCATATAAATCAACTGTTTATTAATGCTAAGTCTGAGCATTTTTCAAACTGGATTGTCATTATCTTTAAGTACTTTGCTAACAAGGAATTATTTGTGATTAACCTTTGATGAACACCTAGCTCAAGTTTAAAAACTGTTGTCACCATATATTGTAATTGCTTTAAAGCAGCACGCCTCCAGATTCATGTTAAATTTCATGAAAATTTTGATAATGTATTTGACAGTAAAATATTGTTAGGTGAACAAATAAAGTTGTTTACATATTGCAATTGGCACTTACAATCCATGCAAATAACCAAAAGAGGTCAAAATGTGCAAAAAAGCCCTTACTGCGTTAGTAACGCAGTAGAAATATGGTGATAAAATACTGCGTTAGTAACGCAGTAGAAATATGGTGATAAAATACTGCAAAATCAGTCTTAAATCGCAAATAACATGTAAACTTTAACATTGATCTTGATTGTTTTTACCTTTCTTGAAATATTAGTACATTTTTCTCAATTTTCATTTTCTTGAAATATTTTGGCTCATCTGGAGGCGTGCAGCTTTAATTCTTATTTCACTAGTACTTAGTTTTATTATCAGCATCATATTCCGTCGTTTTATATATCCATTTTGTTTTGTGACTATTGGAAGTATATGGTGAACTGTCCTCATTTGCATCCAGATTAATTGTTAGTAAATTGTTTATAATAATTTCTTTATCTTTTAATAGAAATTCAAACTTACAATCACCTGATTCATAATAATGATTTGATATATAAACTTTTCTTCATTACTTCAAGAATGATCCTTCCCTGAAATTTCAAAACCAAAAAATATATATATTCCTTCGTTATTATGCTCTCCGAAAAATTTCGGGGCAGCATATAGTCGTCCGTCAGTCAGTCCGTACGTACTTACGTCCCGAATTTGTGTCTGGCCCATAACTTTGTTATTTGAGGTCGGATTTTAAAACTATTTCACAGAAATGATCACCATGTTGAGATGACGTGTCGCGCACAACATTTGCGTCGCAACCTTAAAGGTCAAGGTCACAGCATGACCTTGCAGCAAAATCGTGTCCGGTCCATAACTTCGTTATTTGACATCAGATTTTAAAACTATTTCACAGAAATGATTACCATATTGAGACAACGTGTGGCGCGCAATATTTAAGATGCTACCTTGAAGGTCAAGGTCACAGCATGATCTTGCAGCAAAATCGTGTCCGGCCCATAACTTTGTTATTTGAAGTCGAATTTTTAAACTCTTTCACAGAAAAGATCACCATATTCAGACGACGTGTTGCGCGCAACATTTAGATCGCTACCTTGCAGGTCAAGGTCACAGCATGACCTTGCAGCAAAATCGTGTCCGGCCCATAACTTTGCTATTTGAAGTCGGATTTGAAAACTATTTCACAGAAATGATCTCCATATTGAGACAATGTGTCGCGCCCAACGGGTTGCTACCTTGAAGGTCAAGGTCACAGCATGACCTTGCAGCAAATTTGTGTCCGGCCCATAACTTCGTTATTTGAAGTCGGATTTTAAATCTATTGTTCGGTAAGGAACTAATTTAACACTTTAAAGATATACTTTATCGTCACTTATATCTTATGTAAGGTTTAAAACTTTAAATTAGCACAAACTTTTAACTTACCTGAGCAAAACATGCTTCAGGTGAGTTATCGTTATACCTCGGTTTCTGCTGTCCCTAAGCATTAACATTTTTACTTAAACAATACCTCGATTTGAACAGATAGTGATGAAGCTACACATGCATTATTAAAAGATAGACTGTTTTACAAAATTGTTACAAACTGTTCTGGTCTGTTCAACAAAATGACCATGCGTTTGCGCGAGCCGAAAAACAGAATATAAGGTTGAAGTGACATCTAGTCTTCATTTACCTTTCTTTTACTCAATTTGCTAAAGTTGTTTTAGTCTGCTTAACAAGATAGCCGCCATTCAATTTTA